AGGACAGCTGAATGGTGGCCGAGCTTCCTTCCCTAACCTCAGACAACCTCTCCCCTCCCCAAGACCCCTACTCCCTCAGGCTTCTGATACAGCCCTGGCGTCAGGGTTGGGACTGTAGCGTGTGGTACTCCCCAGGCCCTGCTACTAGGCAGTTGACCCTGGCTATTTCTAAGGTGACTTGGTGCCCTCCATTGGTCACTTTTCTGGACCTCCAAATGACAATATTAAAATAACCAGGTCAGTGAGTCCCAATCATCCTAACTAACGAGACCTCAGAGCCTTTTTGGTGTGTGCCAATTGATGTCTGCTGGGCGGGAGGCAACCTGTTCCTCTGACCTGAGCACTGTGCCCTGACAGTGCCGCTGGGCTGCTCTCTTCCCTGTGGTTCACCATGGCATCTGTGGTGAGCTCCTACCTGACCTTCAAGACCCAGGATGATAAATTCAGTAAGGAAATGGGGAGGTGGGTGAAGAAAGCACTGGAAGGAGGGCAGGTGGGTGTTTTAAGATTTGCCAACAGGCCGAGCATGGTGATGTTTGCCTGTAATCCCAGCAGCTGGGGAGGCTGAGACAAGAGGATCCGAGTTCAAAGCCAGCCTCTGCAACTGTGAGGTACTAAGCAACTCAGTGAGACCCTGTCTCTAAATAAAATACAAAATAGGCCTGGGGATGTGACTCAGTGGTTGAGTGTCCCTGAGTTCAATCCCTGATACCAAGAAAAAAAATTTTTTGCCAACAGATGCATCAAGTTTTTGTTTGCTTACGTGTTGATTTGATTTTGAAACACTGGCTTTCCACCCCCATCCTCTTCAGCATGACAGCTTTTTAAGGATCAAATGAATTAATGAAATGTATTCAGAGCATTTTCAGAGGTGCTAAGCCCTCCTTCAAATCACTGGCCCTGGCAGTCTGCTGGTCCAGCTGGGTGGTGGTGGCCTAGTTCTTTAACTGCTTTCAAATAGGGCCTTTTTCCAATGTCAAGGGTCAGATTCTCTCGTTGGTGTCCCATCTCTTCAAGTTGAGAGAGCTCCAGATAGTCCCACAAGACCCTCTCCACTCTCTGCCACCTCGTGGTCCCCTTGAGCAATCTCTCTCTTTAGGCAGGATGCAGAATAAGTTGGCAAGGTCAAGGTCATGTCCACTCCGGGGTGCAGCTCTCCAAGGGAAAACAGAAACCCAAGGCCATGCCTGGGATGTTGAGTGGGGCTCCTTTATTCTGAAAGAGGAAGCTGAAGGATGTCATGGGCCCACCTGGGCTGCCATGCTGAAACTGGGGAGGTTTGCTCGAGTTGTTGGAGTGTGAGGGAAGATGTGGATTGGCCTTGACCTTGGCCATGCAGAGGAGGCTGCTGCTGGGTGCTGCCCAGCGTTGGCTGGTGCTGCCTTTGGGGGAGGTGAGCCCCTTGTCCCTGGAGGCATGCAGATTCAGTAAGGGATATTTCAGAGAGGGCTCATGATGATGGCATCTAAGCCTCCCATCCCCCAGCTCTGAGAATCCGTGGCCTTGGATTGCTGCAAATGGAATGCCAAGAACTGGGAAACCAATGAAAGAAATCCACTGAAGTGAGGACCAAGCTATAAAAAAAAAGTCTTTATTTCATGTACCAGGATTTTTTGTTTTTGTTTTTGTTTTTGTTTTTTTTTTTAGTTTTCTGATTTTTAAAATTTTTTTCTGTTAACAGTCTGAAAAAAAAAAAAAAGGACCCACCAAGAAAATAAAATGGAGGTTGATTTCTTGGACTGGTTGGAGCTGGACACGAACAGTCATCCACCCTGGGAAGCAGTGCCCCGGCAGTCCGAGTCCCAGCTCCTTCCCTCCTGGCCCCCTAGCCCTTTCTTGGCCACTCTGGTGTCTCCCACGCCCCCACCCCCATGGCCTTCTCCAAGCAGCCTCAGGCCCCAGGCCTTGCCGCCTGGCCAGGAGAGAAGTGTGATTGCCAGCCCCAGTCCTCCACAGAACTCTGAGAACCGGGGCCAGTTCGCCTCTCTGGCTGGACTGTGCCCACTGGTTGGCCGTGCGCCCTGGGCCCCTCCTTCTCTCCAGGCCTTGATCCGTACTGCTTTGGAATCTGGTGGGGTGGTTGCAAGTGGGGTGGGGAAGGGATAGACTGCCATTCCTGCCCACTCTGAGAGATACTCTGTTGTCATCACAAACTAAGTGGCCCCCACTGCGGGGCCTGGGGCCCATGCCTGCCCCCTGCACTCTGGGCTAAGCTGGCAGATGGTCTGCCTTGTGCTGGGGCTGGGTTGTAAGCTCCAGCTGCTGAGCTGGGGCAAGAACCTTCTCTTACAGACAAAAGGCAGGAAGGGCAGCTAGGAGTGTGAAGCTCAAGGACCCGTCCAGTCTCCCCTCCTGCTCCTCAGAGATCCACCTGGGAGACCTCGGGGCAGCCAGTGGGGAACGTGCAGACAGAGGTGGCTGCTGCAGGCGGCAGGGGCCACAGTCTGTGGACTGGCTCACAGGCTGGTTGGAAGTAAGTTTCTAGCATGGAAAAGCTATTGGATTCTGCTCAGTCTGAACTGGCCCTTGTTGCTTTGGGCAAGAAAAGGGAGAAATCTGGGTGTCCCCCTGCTGTAGTGGGTAGTGAAGTTTAAGCTTGGTCTGGGGCTCTCCCGGGGACAGGGATGGCACTCTGTTGAAACTGTCTCCATAGAGGGAGATTCTTGTCCCCTCCTGGCAAACCTCAGAGATCCTCTTTTTTACTGACTCCCAAAGACACTGGAGGACTCTGGTGGCTGACTTCTTCCCTCAAGGGAGTCTCTTCACTCTCTACAAAGGGGCTATGGCATTAAAGAAAAGGGACACAAGATGAAGAGTGGCTTTGGGGACCTCTTTGTCTTTTCTCTCATTGAATGGCAGGATACATTGGCTCTCGTGTATATATTTTTGCTTTGACATTGGATGTGGGATAGGGGGCTGGGGAGCACAGTGAGGAGGCATATGGTGTGTGTGTGTGTGTGTGTGTGTGCGCGCGCGTGCACACACGTGTGCAGGGGATGGGAGAGAGAGAGAGAGAGAGAGAGACTGACTGACAATTTGGGAATGTTCTCAATGTCACTGGAACACAGTGGTAGCTGTTTTATCATCCCTGGCGTGTTCCTCTGGAACGATCTTAAAAGTCAGATACATGGGACAAGAACGGGTCTTTGGAGCTCATTGGTCAGTGTACATGCTTACTCAGGGGAAGTGAAGGCTCAGAGAGGCCACAGAACAAGGAAGTCCAGAATCCAGTCCTGGGTTCCAGACCAGTGCCCTTTCCATGCATGTGAGCGTGTGTGTGTGTGTGTGTGTGTGTGGTGTGTGCAGTGGGTGGGCATGCAGAAGCACAGAGGCCAGCGTGGGGTTCTGGTGTCATTGTCCATGGCTCTGTGTGTGAGGGGGCTGGTTTTCTCCCTGGCTGTGTGCAGATTGGGAGGGTGTGGTCTGAGTGTGTGTCCCTGTGCACAGGGGCTGTGCCAGGCTTAGCCAACTGGACTGGATGGGTGTGTGAGGAGGTGTGGGGTGGGGCCTCATTCTCTCCCACATTAGCAGCACTTCCTGGTGGAAGGAAGAGATCTTTCCAGCAAACTCCCTGACGCTCACTGGGGCCTTTCTCCTCCTCCCGTGGCTTTAAGCCCAGCTCACATCTCACACAACAGTTTTGTATTTTTAATGGATTTGTATATTTGTTTTCTGTTTTGTCTTTACAAGTTCCCTGCTAAATTTTAAGTCCCCCACCCACCCCAGTTTTGTTTTCACAGTTTAAAGCTGGAAAAGAATTAAAAGAAAAATACTATCTGATTTTCTTGCAAGTAAATCCACTTATTATATATTTACATTTATTTATAGTTTGTGGTTTTTTTATTAAAAAAAATCACCACTTGTTTTTCCTTTTTCTTTTGTAAAAAGAAACCTTTTTGCAGTGTCACTGTTGGACCCGCTGGGCCCCAAGGGGGCGCCAGTGAGTCTAAGGACCCCCAAGGGTCAAAGAGCCCCTTTCCCAGGGGTCTGGAGGCCTATGAGTTGGGGGTTCACTATCGCCCCAGGGTCACAGGGTGGCCCTGAGGGGAGGGGCGAGGAGGGAGAGCTGCTTTATATCCCCCGGTGGGTGGGTGTCTCCTGACCCCAATGACAGGAGCTTGGGGGTGGTGACCCCAAAAGGCTCACCCTGAGGGTTCCGGGGTTTCGGTGTCTCGGTGGGAGGCAGCCGTCCCTTCTCTTTCCCTTTCCTCGAGGCTAGAAGTCATCACAGTGGGTTAAGGACCATTAAGGACTGGGAACCTGGGGCTGGGCGAGCCCCTAGCGCACCCCCTCCAGGCACCTAACGGACAGGAGGGACCAAGGGCTCTGGTCACCTGGAGGCCTACAATTGCCCCATCAGTGCTGGGCGGAGCCGGCTCTTGAGCCACTGAGCATTCCCAGCGTCCCCAGGGCACACTCCCAGGGGCTCCAGGGACCTGGCAGTGACCACAGGCTCCCCTGGCCCCTGGGGGCCCCTGAGTCTCCACCCCGCACTCTCCTAGGGAGGCAGGGCCCGCTGGGGTTAAAGGGAACTGAATACTTTTGATTTTTTAAATTCTCCTGCAGTTAAAAAGAAAAAGAAGAAGGTAACAAAAACCCCTAATAAATACAAAGGGCATTCCTTTTCCTTCCGCTCCTCTCTCTGTCTGTCTCTCTCTTTGCTTTAATGTTATCTTGGTTCCCTTTTATTTTTTCATTTAAATTGGTTTTTATTAAATGTTAAAATAATGGTACATGGGAAATCATGCATTTTCTTTTAGATTTATTTCTAGTTTTAATTGTGTATCCCTCACGCTTTAGGTTAGAGTCTGTCTTTCCTAGTTTACCTTTTTCCCGCATTGCCTGTTTTGCTTCTTTGTTCCTCTTGTATTTTGTTCTTTTTTTTTTTTTTTAATTTACTTGCTCTTTTTTCTCTTTTTTTGTTTTGTTTTGTTTGTTTGTGTTTTTTGCCGAGGTCTCCCGGGGCCCTCCCCACCCGCGGCCCCTCCGCCCGCCCCGTCCTCCCGCCCGCCGCCGTCTGGCCCTTCACACGGGCGTGGTCCGGCGGTTGGCTGTGTTGGAGTGGAGCGAGTCCTTGTTCTCCTTCTGGATACAGTTGTGGACCTGGAGGAAGCTGTTGTCCCTGTCCGAGTTGTAGGTGGCGGTGGGCGTGGTGGCGGCCTTCAGGGGGTCGCGGCTGAGGGTGTACATGGAGATCTCCGTGGACGGCAGGGTGTTGAAGCCCTTGACGCCCACGGGCGAGGCGTCCCTGGAGTGCGAGGGCTCGGTGGAGCGCGAGCTGGAGCGGCTGCGGCGCTGGTAGCGGTAGCGGTAGCTGGGGATGCGGGTGATGGCCGAGGCCTGGAGGTAGTCCGTGGCGCGGGCCGTGGCCCGCAGCTGTTTGTGGCGGTCGATGAACATGTGCACCGCCAGCACCCCGACCATCTCGGCGATGATAAAGGACAGGGCCCCGAAGTAGAAGGACCAGCCGTAGGAGTAACTATTCTTTTTGGAGTCGCTCTTGGAGGGGTCCCCGGCATTGGCAGATATGTACACTATGATGCCGATGATGTTACTAAGACCTGCGGGCACCAGGGGTGGGCGGGGGACCAGAGAGGATGGGTTAGTTCCGGAGGATGTGGGCCACCAGGCAGGATCACAAGGCAGGGACAGCTGGGTAGCCTTCCCTTTCAGTGATGCACAGGTGGATGGGTAGAGAGGGACACTGGCGGACTTCACTTTAATATTGTACCATCTAGAGGGGAAGGACGGAGAGACAGACAGGTGGAAAGAGTGGAGAGGAGAGAGGTGCTGGTCATCGGATCGGGAATAACAATAGATGCTGTTTATTGAGCAGCCTTCTCTGCTTAGTGCTTCGTGAACAGTTGACAGATGAGGAGTCAGAGAGGTTAAGCCACTTGCTCAAGGCAGCACAGGGATTTGAAGCTGGTATAATAGGAGGTTGACTGGCTCTGGGAACCATTGCTTGCGTTCAAAGCCTTTGGCAAGTGAAGCTTTGTCTCAGTTTCCCCCTCTGTAAACTGGGGGTGATAGCAGACCTGACCCCTGAGGGGCCGTGGGGAGCATTACATAAAGGAACACTCGAGGATGCTCTTGGCTCCTGGGACATGGTAAATGCTCCTCAGATGTTAGTTCTACTAAGTGGCTCATGACATGCTCCTTTTCTGGCCTCTGAGGCGAGTGTGACTGGTTAGAAGTCGGATTTGGGGACCTGCCTGCTACCACCTGGCTGGGACCCTGAGGGCCGGTCCTCCCTTCACTTCTAGGCTGGAGCTGGGCATCACGTGGATGGCCTTTTCAGTTTGCTGGTACTGGAGGGCAGAGGACAGGTGGGGACAGGCCCAGTATTTGAGAGGGCCCAGGATTTGAGTTGGAAAATGGTGGGAGGACGATGGCCTCTGGGCCAAGGGAGGGGGTGTTCCTGTGGGACTCCGAGGGGCTGGAGGTGGTGCCCAGCCGGGCCTTCCCCTGAGCGAGGCCTCGAGGTGCCCTGCCCTCTCAGTGCCTCTGCCAGGTCCTCCCATCCCGGGCTGGGGGGGTCCTCTCCCCTCCATTGGGCCCAGGCTCCCGCCTGCCTGGCTCGGTGGCCATTACCTGCAGACACGAAGAAGATGCCGGCGCTGAGGATGATGTTGTGCCGGGTCTTGTAGAACTCGCTGGCTGCGATGCAGAGGCCACCCATGAAGAGCAGGATCACGCTCAGGATTGGGAAGATGCTCGAGGCCCTCACAGCCCCTGCGGAACAGGAGGGTCATGGGGGGAGATAGGCCAGGCTGTGAGTCTGGGGACCGTGGGGAGCCGTGGGAGGGCGGCCACACCAGGGAGTGGGAAGGAGAGTGAGCGCTGGCCAGTCCCCAGGGGCTCCTCGCTGCCTCCAGGACCAGACTCCAGCACTTCCAGACACAGGCCCTGTGTGAGGTGGCCGCCGCCTGCCCCCGGCTGCATGCTCCAGGTCCCCATGGCGTCACGTGCTGCCGACTTCTCACAGGCCAAGCTTTCTTACTGGAACGTCTCTCCTGGTCTTTATTTTGTGAACTTCTATTCATCCATCAAAACCCAGCTCCAAGTCCCTCCTCCATGAAGCCTTCCCTGACTTCCTTAGGCCAAGTCATTAGTCTTTTCCTCTGTGCTCTGGGGCACGTGGGCACACTGAGGGGCAATGAGGTAGGGTTAGGTGACCACGTGGCTGGGTCTGGAATCTGGCTGAGGCACTTGCTAGCCTTGTGTAAGTGAGGGAGCTGGCCTCTTGTGCCTCAGTTTTCTTGTCTATAAAACAGTGATGGTAAGAGCACTGGCCTCCTGAGGTGGTTGTGAAGATTAAATGAGCTGATTCGGGTAATTCATTTATGAGAGAAAGTCCCTGGGAAAACAGTGACAGTTGTGACCATAACCACTGACGCCCCGCCCTCAGCCACAGGCCTCACAAAGCGACTACCCTGGCTTGTTTTCCCAGTACTCTTCTGTCCACCCAAGGGCAAAGCAGGCTCTCAGAAAAAGCTGGTCAAGTGAATAAAGGTGGGATGGTCCAGAAAGAGGAGGAAACAGACACATTTCAAGAAAAGAGGAGTAACACCCAAAATGCAAATCCTTGGGGATAAGGTAAGAAGGAAGGGCTGGTAGACAGGATGGGGAAGAAAAGGATATTTAGTTCTGTGTTTATTTTGAGGCGCTGGGGTTGAGCCAGGGGCTTTCTCAGGCTCAGCAGGCCCTCCACCACTGAGCTGCACCCCAGCCCCCAAAGAATATTTCAATAAAAAGGGAGAAACGACAGAGGGCAAAGGCCACAGCTCCTGTGGGAAGAGGGTGCCGATGCTGAGGTGGAGGGGACAGTGGCTGGTGGCCAGGTTGGGGTGCCCTGGCAGGACCAGTGTCTGACTGAGGGCCGGAGTGTGGGGACCTCCACAAAGTGTCTCTGCAAAATCAACTATATATATTATCCAAATTCAAATAGGCAGTGAGGGACCACAGGATGGTGGCTGACTCCCTGTCCCGGGGCTGTGGCCTGGCAGGGCAGAGCCGATCCCAGCCCACCCGAGGCTATGGTGTGGGGAAGGATCTGCTTCAGATGCCTCTGTGGCTTCCATGGCTTCTGGGGACACTGAGTCATGTTAGGCATAGGGCTCTTGGCCAAGCCCAGGCCACAGTGACAAGAACTCCCCCCATCCCCTCTGTGGGTGGCAAAATGATCAAGAGGGATCCGTGAAAGACCACATCTATCTAGACTGACTGATGGACGGACTTCCTTCCTCCCTCCCTCCCTCCATCCTGAAATTGAACCAAGAGGCGCTCTACCACTGAGCTGCATCCCCAGCCCTTTTTATTTTTAATTTTGAGCTAGGGTCTTGCTCAGTTGCTGAGGCTGGCCTCAAACTTGCCATCCTCCTGCCTTAGCCTCCTGAGGAGCTGGGATGACAGGCATGTGCCACCACGCCCAGCCTATCCAGACTTTTCAAAGATGGCTTTAGGTAGTTTTATGTGACACGTGCTGTGAAGATCCTCCATCCCCTCCCTTCCGTCTACAGTGAAGTCTACGCTGCTCACTACTGCTATTGGTGAGAGAGAGAGAGAGAATGTGTGTGTGTGTGTGTGTGTGTGTGTGTTTGTGTGACTGTTTGTTGAGGGGGGAGACTTGAAGGAGGGTGGAGCTCTGCACTCACATCTGCAAAGGGCAGGACCCAGCAGCACCTGTGGAAGCTAGTGTGAGGCCAGGTGTGCGGGCAGCTGGCCTGTGGAGCAGTCTTGGTGCCTGCAGGGGCGTGGCTGCTTGCACCCCAGGTCCTAGTGGGATGGTCTGTCCTGCAGGTCATTTCTAAGACAGTGTGCTCTGCCCCCAGCCTGATCCCCAGCACAAGCACCCCCGCACCCCACACAGGCAGAGACGCGCTCACCTTTACGAGCATGTGGCGATGGCAGGAGAAGAGGTGGAATATTTGTTAAGCACCCGTTCTATGTGGGGTCTTGAGCAGTCATCAAACACATATTCTGTATTTTCATCTTATAACAACCCTCAGAATGTGTTTTTTGTCCCAACGTGAGATGACAAAACTGAGGTTCAGAGAGGTGAAGTAACTTGTCTGAGACTACCCAGCCAGTGAGACTGGATTCCAATCTAGATGACCTCTGGGCTCTCCCTATATGACTTCTAAGGAACATGGAAAAGGTGCCGAAGGGTCTGGAGAGCCATGTTTTGATTTTAGTTGTGCTGCTCACTTGCTGTGTGGCTAAGGCAGGTACCTCACCCTCTCTGTTTTTCTCATATGTGAGATGTGGTGTAAATGATTAGGTGATTTCCAATGGTTCTTCTCTCTGCATGTAGATATGACTTCTGGCTGGGGAGAAGAAAGAGGAGGACAAAGAGGAGGACATGGCATGACTTCTGAGGGGCAGCAGTGCCTGCTCAGATGAGCAGGGCAGAGGGAGGCCAGAGCCCTGCAGGAAAGCAGGCTCTTCCTGCCCGTGGTGGGCCTGTGTCTGGCAGGCTGGACGGCACTGGGAGTGCAGAGGACCTCGCAGCAGCCCAGGCCCACCTTTCCAGCTCAGCTGCTTCTGCTGTGGGATCCAGAGGTCCCAATTGGGCCCTCCTGCCAGCAGAGGAGGGAGCCGGGGTGCTGCCTGTGTGTATGCATGGGTGTGTGCGTGTGTGTGCGTGTGTGCACGTGTGCAGTGAGGGCACAGATGTGTGGGTAAAGATGGAGGGAGGCAGAGGTAGAAGGTTGTGTTGCAGCCAGCAGAGGACAATGTAGAGGACACGGACCTGCTTTGGGAGGCAGGAAGCTAGCTCTAAATAGTGGCGGCCAGCAGGGAACACGGAAGATCCAGCCAGGCCAGCCTCTCTCAGAGAGGCCTCTTCACCAGGAAAGAGGAGGCCGGAGCAGCCAGTAAACAGCACTGTGCCCAGGGCTCAGACCCAGGCTGGGCAGGGGCTGGAGCTAGTGCCTGGGGACCTCTGTGTGGAGGAGCCTCTCGAGCCAGGTCTTTCTGCTTGGGGAGTGTCACACCTGAATTTAAACCCTGGCTTTTCACTCACTGGGTGACCCTCGGACAAGGGTCTTTACCTGTCTGAGCCTCAGTTTCCCATCCTGTAAAATGGCAATAGTGGGAATAATAGTATCCAGCTCCCGGGAGCGCTGGAGAGCCGCACCCCGCAAGCGCAGGCTGTGGACCAGCAGCATCTGCGTCCCTGTGGTGCTGGGGAAATGCAGATCCCAGGTCTGGTGGGTATCAGGGACTGAACCCAGAGGTATATAACCACGGAGCTGCACCCCAGCCATTAAATTTTTTTTTTTTTTAAATTTACGGTCTGCTAAGTTGCTCAGAACCTTGCTAAGTTGCTGAGGCAGGCTTTGAACTCGCAATCCTCCTGCCTCAGCCTCCCGAGCTGCTGGTATTTCAGGCATGTGACACCATGCCCCACAGAATCTGTTTTCAGGATATGCTCATGACAAGGTTTGTACATGCATAAAAGTGCGAGAGATTCCTTTGTAAGGATCAAACCGGGAAATACTGGGACCATGAACAACGCTGGAGGTGGACAGTGACAGGCAACAATTTTGATTATTTCTCAGGCTCCTCCAAATATCACTCCCCCACAAATTCCCAAGGAGCTCCGTGTGACACTCCCCTGTGTATTTGGTACAGAGAATTAGTGTATTCCAGGGACTTTTAAGCACTGTACGTACATCAATTCGCTGGTTCTCGTTACAGCCCTGTGAAATAAGTCCTTCAATCGCATCCATTATACAGAGATTAAAACTGAGGCACAGAGAGCCTTTTATCCAGGGTTTGTGAACTCAGGTCCGTGTCTGATCACAGTGCTCTGCTGTCTTTAGCAATCCTCTGAGCTCCTGTGGGATCAGGGAGGGCTTCCCCGAGGCAGAGATGTTGGAGCTGAGAGATGACCGTGCTGGGCCCAGGGGGCGCAAGGCTATGGGCAGAGCCGGGCGGGTCTGGGAGGTGTTAGGAGGTGGCTTAAGGTCTGTGGATGGAGAATGGAGAGAGAAGAGGTGGCCGCAGGGATGACTTCTAGATCTTGGACTTGCAAGCTGGAGGATAAAGCAGTTTTTGAGACTAGAAGAGCTTCAGGCCAGGAGTCGGGGGAGGTGGGGGGCAGCTTGGCACATGGGAGTTGGAGATGCTCTGGGGATGCACCCACGGAGTGTGGAGAGGCACTGAGTGTCGGGGGTGGGCACAGAGCTGTGGTCTGGGCTGAGGCTGGACATTGGGACTCAGGGGCACACAGTGAGCCCTGAAGGCTTGCCCAGGGAGGAGCGGGTTAGGCCTGAGGCTTAGGAAGCCCCCATATTTGGTGACTGGCTCAGGAAGACTGTGGACAAGTCATGTAGTGTCCCTTGGCCTCCTCTTCCTTTTCTGCAAAATGGGGGTGAAAATCTTAACCCAGGTTTTCCTTATGGGGTTGTAGTATTTAAATAAGAACGAAGAAGTTTTGAGAGTGTAGAATGTTGGTAAACTGGGATTTATGATTCTCTATGTTGGGGACCAAAATGAGGAGTAGGCAGAGTGCCCAGGAAGGAAGGAAGTGACCTCTTGCCCTTTGAAAGGGGTGGCCAGGGCCACACATTCCTTGCTGATCCTGTTCTTGTCCAGTTCCACTGGCAAATCATGGGATCTGTGTCCCAGGAGGTCCAGCCCCTGTGGCCACCAGGCTGTGACACTGCTCTTCAGGGTGGGCACAGTTGGTAGACGGCTACACCACAGGGACGAGGCCACCCTGTTCT